CTGTCTCGCAGTCTGTTTCACAGCAACCTCAACCTACAACACTTTTCCTCAATCGGGAGAGTTGGAGGCCTGTCCCACCTCTCTTAAGTCAAATGCATTCTTCCAAACCTTCATGACAGCAGAACGGGGGTTGAGACCTTGACACACCATGTTTTGTAGTTTCTGATTCTTATTGTACAACAAAACCCTTCTCTGGGCACTTTTGAAGATTGTGTGGAGGGGAGTGGAGGTGTCTTCACTGATTGCCCCTTGTCCTTCAGCATATGGGAAGAATATATTTAGGCTCTTCCTAAATAAAAGGGGAAACTGCTGCAATGACGTAAAATTCTACTTGGAAATTAGGAACTGATTTATTTGCTTAGCATTTGTCTCTGCTCTTAAACAATTCAATGAGAATCCCTGAATTAATATTTACAAAAGGTTTTAGAACTAAGAAGGTTTTGATTAGGTAATAAATACATAAAGCAATATTCAAAAGGTAAAACAGCATATATACTTTTATATATACACACCTACATACATATACTTTTTTAAACTAGTAATTCTTATTTCAATACAAAAAGGAATAGTCAAATTGTTTCTGCTAAAACACTAGCAAACAATTATATCCAATCTAATCTAGTACTCAAACTCAAAACCAATTACCAAGTATTAAATACAATCAGTGTCTTAAATTTCCGTCCCCACTATTCAGGTCCTAGTTACCATTATCTCATGCTTGGATGACTGGTCTTATGCCTACTCTGCCCCACTCTAATCCTTTCTCCAATTGCAGCCAAGGAGATCTTCTCAAAACTCGAAATTGGTATCAAGTGTCATCTCCTCCTCCTTCTCTCCCCTCCAACCACCAATCTTTCTTCTAGTACCTAGCGCTAGAATTATAGGCATGAGTTAACACACCTGGCCACATGTACACATTTAAATGTCACTCTCCCATAGGTACCTCCAAGGGTGAGGCAAGATGCAATCATCTTTTCATGCCTATCTCTTAATGCTGTGCAGGCACTTCATAAATGTTATTAGTTAAATGAGAGCTCTCACAGCCACCAAATCAGGGACGCAGAGCATAAAAAGAATCCTCTCCTATGAAGATGGTCCATGAAGCATTTAAGCTTTGACTATAAAGAATGATTTTTCCAGCTGGGCGCAGTGGCTCATGCCTGTAATCCCAGCACTTTGGGAGGCCAAGGCAGGCAGATCACTTGAAGTCAGGAATTTGAGGCCAGCCTGGTCAACATGGTGAAACCCCATCTCTACTAAAAAAGTACAAAAATTAGCCAGGTGCGGTGGCAGATGCCTGTAATTCCTGCTACCTGGGAGGCTGAGGCAGGAGAATCACTTGAACCTAGGGGGTGGAGGTTGCTGTGAGCCCAGATTGCGCCACTGCACTCCAGCCCTGAACGACAGAATGAGACTGGGCCTCAAAAAACAAACAAACAAAAGAATGATTTTCCAATAAAGATTAGAAAGGAGGTGTGATTTTTTTTTTACCAACTCGTAGGATAACACTTCTAAATACTCCCTATTAGAAGTCATGGTTGGCACGTAAAAAGAAAAACTCAGGATTTGGAAAATAAAGTTGTTAGTGAACTTGGAAAATCCTTTGCCCAATACATTAAACAAAAAACAATGATGTCTTAAATTAGCAAAACCCATTTGTATTTCTTTTTTTTTTTTTAAATAAAGATGCGGTTTCACCATGATGGCCAGGCTGGTCTTGAACTCTTGACATCAGGCGATCCACCCACCTTGGCCTCCCAAAGTGCTAGGATTACAGGCGTGAGCCACCATGCCTGGACTTGTATTCCTTGTTCTTTAAAAACTTTTTAAAAAATTGATTTACCCTAGAGTTTAAATGAGATGCTTATAAATTCCTCTTTTGAGTCACTGATATTATCTCCAAATGTCAAATTTTCAAATTCATCTGTACTTGATATAAATTCTTGAACATGTAGAAAAAGTAGGGAAAACAAAGTGAATATATCTTAGGATTTCAGCCTAGGTGAATTCATATTTGGTTGGGGTGGGAGGTTTACTGTTATTCATTTAGAGTGAAACAGAAAGATGGATAAAAAAGGTATGAAAATAATAAAAATTTTAAAGGAAAACAATTTTCAGGGCAGTACAGAGCAATCCTTAGATACTTAAAACATTATTTAAAGAACACATTTTCTTCAAATGTAATGATATCACATCTCCTTCAGTTCTTCAAACTTGAAGGTCTTTGACTAATAAGCATAAACTTCTGTAAAATAATTTCTTGTAAGCTCTTGGCCTTATTCTCCTTTGGGTTTAGGGAACTCAGTATACATTACAAAGTCTGTGCAAGGAAATAAGCACTAACAGAGTGAATACTATTCCCTCCTCATTACTGCACAGGCATAACTAAAGAATAAAAACTTTGTGTTTTCTGTAAAAAGGGCCCTGAGAAAAGGAAATTGACAGTGAAAATTCCAAGATGTTCATGGCTAATGTTCATTCAGTAGTGAAGTGCTGTCATGTGGTAAAGAGTTTTATTTTAGGGTCAGGAATTTTTGTAATTATGTAAATGACTTTACTCCTCTACTTGGTCTTTAAAAATTAAATATACAGGCATATATTCTTTACAGAATTATGTAAGTAAAATTATAGCCATAATCACATTTAATAATTGAAAGGATTTTTAACATCTGAATTATGAATATAAAATAATTTCCTGTACCTCATGTTTAGATAAAACACTGTTACTTGAGGGTAAGTTTTTTTTGTTAATTTTCCCAAATCCCTTCCTGATGATACCTCACACACTGGTTTTTCTGGCCACAGTACAACAATCAGCTGATTATCTACAGAGAACAGTCTACAACTCTATAATTATTCCTGTGCTATCTTCCTGGTTCTAACTGAAAGTATAGACTATCAGACAACTATAATTATGGTTGGGGTAATTTCTCCAGTTACATTATTCTTACACTTGCCACCCCAAAACTTGAACACTTTTCTGCCCATGACATAATTTCAATATATCTTTCAATTGTAGTTTATTTTTATTATTCATGACTCAGAAATCGTCAATATTATTTGTCTACTGGGATGCCTAATCACCTCCAGAATACTCATAAAAATTAAATAAGCTATCAAATAACATTTTTTGAACTTTTGTTACAATGAAGATCTCTAAAAATTAAACAATGTTCCTATACTTTGGCCAGTTTAAAAATAAACCTGTTAGCCTGGGTGCGGTGGCTCACACCTGTAATCCCAGCATTTGGGAGGCCAAGGTGGGCAGATCACGAGGTCAGAAGATCGAGGCCATCCTGGCCAACGTGGTGAAACCCTGTCTCTACTAAAAATACAAAAAAATTAGCTGGGTGTGGGGACACGCGCCTGTAGTCCCAGCTACTCAGGAGGCTGAGGCAGGGGAATCGCTTAAACCCAGGTGGCAGAGGATGCCGTGAGCCGAGATCATGCCACTGCACTACAGCCTGGGGAACAGAGCAAGACTCCATCTCAAAAATAAACAAACAAGCCAGTTAGATTCCTTGTTAGAAAGTCTATATGTTGGTATTTCAATTTTTATTATACTTCTTCAAGGAACAAAATACACCCCATGCTTGATGACAATCAACAATAATGAGCAGAATAAAAGATATTTAGAAAGAAAGTTTATAACAGTGAACTTTTGAATGCAAAAAATTTCATTGCAAAATATTTTTCCACTATTAATTATATTGCAGTCGTGTGCTGCATAATGATGCTTCACTGATGGTCCCATAAGGTAATACTTTATTTTTACTGTACCTTTTCTATGTCTAGACACTTTTACATATGCAAATACCATTGTGTTACAACCAACTATGGTATCCAGTAGAGTAACATGCTATACAGGTTTGTAACCTAGGAGCAGTAGGCTGTATCATATAGGTGTGTAGTAGGGCATACAACATAGATTTATATAAGTACGCTCACAATAACAAAATCGCCCAATACATTTCTCAGAAAGTATCCCTGTGATTAAGCATGCATGACTGTGTATTTTATGTCTAATTCAACTCAAACACAATTTTTAAATGTTGTGTTTATAATATGAAATGAAGACTTGGCTAGACACAGTGGCTCATGCTTATAATCCCAGAACTTTAGTAGGCTGAGGCAGACAGATCACTTGAGCCCAGGAGTTCAAGACCAGCCTGGGAAATACGGTAAGACCCTGTCTCTAGAAAACATTCAAAAATTAACCAGGTGTGGTGGTGTGTGCCTGTAGTCCTAGAAACTTGGGAGGCTGAGGTGGGAGGATCACTTGAGCCTTGGAGACAGATGTTGCAGTGAGCCAAGATTACACCACTGCACTCCAGCCTGAGCAACAGAGCAAGACTCTGTCTCAAACAAAGAAAAAAGAAATGAAGACTTAATTCATTGAGTAAATGTTTGCTGAGCTCTCACTATGTGCCAGGCATGGTCTCAGTATGGGGGAGTCACAGGTGAAAAAGATAAACATGGTTCCTACTTTTCCATTATCATGAAGCCTAATTTTTAAAAAAATTTATTTTGCAGAGGTAATCAAATGAAGTCTATGCTTTATCTTGAATCATTTACATTCAAGAATACTTAACTCTGCAATAAAATGCTAAAAAGTCACAGATGTTATACAGTCAGGGTTGAAAAACAGCTCATCAGTTCCAAGATGCACATTATTTTACATTTTGACATCTCTGAAATCAGTCACATCTTACAATGTGATCAACCAGGCAGCAATGGAGATGCAGTTGGCACTGCCTACATGTGCATCAATACTTCAAAACTCAGAATAAGCACCAGGGGCTTGGAAGAAAATCCCAGGTTCAATGGTGAAGGCACACTTTTAAAGATTTTTTTTTTTTTTTTTTTTTTGTAGAGATGGGATACTGCTATCTTGACTGACCAGGCTGGTCTTGACCTCCTGGCCTCAAGCAATCCTCCCATCTGGACCTCCCAAAGTAGTGGAATTACAGGCATGAGGCACCACACCCAGCCTTAAGGATTTTTGATGATTCAAGATTTGATAAAATATAACAGTTCAAAGTTTTCATTTATTATAGGTGAGGAAAATGAAATTCAGAGTGGTCACATGACTTGCCCTAATTCACAAAGCTGGATAGGTAGAATAAGTTCAGGTCTGTTATTCATATACACTCTTCTACCAGTGTTCAGTTATATGGAGGAAAAGAGATGTCACACAAAATAAGTAGGTTAAGAAGATGACTCTAGTTTTGTGACCATGAGCAAGGAACTTAATCCGTTTTTGCCTCAGTTTCTCCATCTATTAAGACAGGGATTTAACAAACCTAACTCAGAGTACTGCCGTAAGTATTAAATAAGATAATATATGTCTAGGACTTATCACAAAGATTGGCATATTGTAAGTACTCCATAAACGTCAACTATTTGAGGTCAAACTTTACATTTATTATACACTAAGTGAAGCCCACATATAGTTATTTGTCTAAAGCACTACAAAACTAAATAAACTGGTCAAATGTTTGAAGTGATAAATACAATAAAAATTTCTGCCTTAACAATGTTTTTTCCAGGTACTGTGCCAAGAATTCAGTAGACCCACCTGCGAGAAACCATACAAAAATCTAGATTCCAGGCTGACGTGACGATCAGATTAGGTACTTCAATGTGTGTGAATGCATTTATAAGCACAATCTCAACACATAAACAAGGAACCAAATATTTAAAATGTATAAACAGATAATTTCTTTTTGCTTTCTTTAAAATACTGTATCAGAATCACCTGAGGAACTTGTTAAAAATTTAAAAAAATATATTATAACTATGTATATGAAGCCTGGTACAGATGCCTCAAGTTTTAGAGGTTTAAGCCTTACTAGGCCAGCTCTTCAGATTTTGAGAGTTTAAGTGAAAAATCTAAATTATAACACAGTATGTGAAGTAAACCTGCTTTAAATATTAGTTTCTACATTATTGTTTCTATAAAAATAGTAATCTGTATTTTGATATCAACTCATCACATATTAAATATTTCAGTCAAATCAAAATGATTTCCGTTGAAATCTTCAATCTAAAAAATACACAGTTAAGCGCTTAAAAAGTAATTTTAACCACTAGGAAATGTTAATGATTAACTCACATTTGTTTCAGTTTCACTCCATGACAAAACCTATAGGACACCCTGCAGAGAGGAAAACTCACATTAACATAACCAGAATTTTATTTTCAGAAGCTTCTTGTAATTAAAGCCTTATTATGAGATGCCTTCACGTCACAACTGCACAGTGGCAAAGTAAAAATATTTTAAAGATTAATCTATTTTCTCATACTTTTTTTAATGCTTTTGTTAAAATCTCACAAGTACTAATATGTTATCTAAATTTAAACCTTAAAACAATCACATGACCTAATATGTGAACTCTACGTATTAATTCTAAAACTTTTAATAATAGTTTGTTTATCTTTGAGACTTTAAAAAAATAAATAACATATTGCACTATGCCCATCCTAGATATTTTCTAGGATCAAAGGCTATCGGGAGCAGGCAGGCTGTAGTTGAGTGTGGTTGGGTCAGCAGAGAAGAGCCTTATGACCAACTCTGAACGCCTCCACTGTGAGGAGCATCTCGACTGAAATAATCAGAGACCAGGCACCAAAGAGTACGGCAACTCGAGGTTACATTTAGGAGACTCCAGCCTTGGCCGCCCGGGATTCCCGACGAACCGCACCTCTCTCAGTTCCAGCATCCGGCCCGCCCCTTCCTCTGAGGCTACCCGCAGCATCACACGCCGAGCTCCGGGGCTGCGGGAAGTGACGGAAACAAAAACTTGATACACAAAGAAAGGCTGGGTCAGAAGGGAGGCCCCACCCTGCCAAGAAAAGTGACTTTTCTAGAAAAACGTAGCGGCAAGTTAACTGGAAGAGCGGCGACACCGCTCCTAGGATTGTTGGGTGCACCCTGCCACCAGACAATCTCATCCTTTGTCCTTTGAGAGGCCTCCTTGAAGCCAAATGCTCTAAGTGCCCCTGAGCAACCCTTGACTCGATCTCCATTCCGGGCCCTCACTGATTGTAGCCATGACAGTTGCATCCGGATATATCGCATAGCCGCCGCCAGAGTCTCCCGGAAGTGACGCGACGCGGAGGGATCCGCGTTCAGCTGAGGGAGACCGGGGTGAAGTGATTCCCGGAAGCGGATACAGCTGGGCTGCTGGTGGTGGGGCGCCAGTAGGGTGGGGAGAGAAATTGTGGGTCTTACTACCAGCAAACCCCAACACGTTTTACCTGTCAGGTAGTAATTGTGCTGAACACTCACGTTAGCAAGCCATTTAATCCCTTCCTTACAACAATCCCAGCAGTCAGAAATTTATCACTTCCATTTTATATATGGGAAAACTAAGGCTAGGAGAGGGCAAGTAAATTTGCCCGAGAAGATATAGCTGGTACTTGGTGGACCTGGTCTAACCCGGACCCCGCGTTCTCGGTTGATGACTTTATTTTGTAAAACCAGAGCCGCTGGCGCTTGGCATCCTGGTAAGCCCCTTTAAGTTTGGCACTTTGTTGCCCAGAGAGGGCACAACGTATAGCCACTGTGCTTTTTATAGTGAACACAGGGCCGAACTGTGTGCCTGGGTCCCCCTGGCTGAACCTCGAATTTCACTTGTTCTCAGACCACTTGCCTTTGCAGCATTCTCCCCACCCTTGCAGCACTGGTTACATAAGGAAGCTGTCAATGGTTGCTGGGCTCTGGGGAGCATTTTAACTCCGGTTAGACCCTTTTAAATCCATGACTAAGACAACTGGAGGCCTCTCAACCGTCTTCAGATACTCTACCTGGCCTTAACAGAGAGCCAAGGACCATAATCTTGGACTTTCCAAGGGATCAAGTGTTTGGCTTCTGTTTCTTGAGAGTATGACTGAAAACCAATCTGTTGTTCAATCTTTTTTCTGCATTAACCAATCCTGAAATAATAAAGTGCGAATAGCCACTAAGGCTATGTTTTTGTAAAAACGAATCACATAGAGAAAAAAAGTCACAAGAAATACATCATAATTGACAGTGATAGTGTTTGGAGAGTGGGTGATTTTATTTTTTTTCTCTCTGCTTTCTCTTTTGCATATCTGCTATAATACCCTTTTAAAATAGAAAAATAAGCAAACTGACTATAGTAAAACACATTTTTAAATTGCCTGACGTTATAATGAAGGCAGAGGTATGTTATATTTTGATAAATGACAGTCCTTGATACAAATCACATAGAGAAATCCTGTTTGATGAGAAAAGCATTGGGTTTTTGTGAGTAAAGTTATTCTCAAAATTTTTGATACTTTATTTTGGTTCTATAATCCTCACAGGAAAGTAAAAGAGAAAATTGATGTTTTTTACACACTTTCCTATGAATATGCTACAACTAAAAGTCTTCTCTAAAACAGAGTTGCAAGGGACAAGGGATGTGGGGTGTTTGGGTACTTGAAATGTTGGAGAACAAGTATGAAAATCTATTTTTATTCTGGCTACTTTGGGGTACAGTACAGTACAGCAATTTATTTCAGACTGAAAAAGAAAGCTTCATTATTTACATACTCTGCTTCCCACTGTTGCTTATTAGTGACTTTTAAAGCAGTGACAAAAGAAGAAAAAGAAGATAGAAGGGAAAATGGAAAGGAATTTGGGAAGAAGAAAATATGGAGGAACAAAGTCAGATGGTGATATTGGGGGTTACTTTGGAACTTCAGGGTAGCATGTAACAGCCTTCTTATCCAAGTCCTGGCACAAGCCTGGTTGCCTACTAAAAGGTATATTAGTATCTATGATGTTCCTGCTCACATATTCAGTACCCACAGTGATAACTCTTACTAAAAATTAATCTTGATGCTCATACAAATTAGACATATATTTTAACAAAAATGGAGTGATTGAGCAAGAAATGTAAAATTTCATTATTTTTCCTGCTTGTTTCTCTCACCATGTCATTCATTCATCCTGTGGTTAGTAGCATAACTATAAACTGGAAGCTCTGCCTGCAGCATTAAAAAGCAACTATGAAACACCAAAATGAGGTGCTGACAAGATGCTTGTTTTCCAAAGAAATGTCTTTTCATTAGTCTGGTTCAGATGAGAAGTTGTTATGATGGGATTAAATGTGCAACAATTTTATTAGAGGCAACACCTGTGAGCGAGAATGAGAGGGAGCCAAACAAGTCTGTGAGAGATACAAGCCTGAAACTGAATGAAGGAGAGAGGGAGGGAAGGCTGGTGGAAGCATCCTAGACTGCCAGACAGTCTAAGCAAGATTTAGAAAGGCTGCTAGACACTACACACTGGGGTCTGTTGCGGGGAGATGGGGGAGGGACAGTGGGAGGTGGGGAGTTGGGGAGAGAGAGCATGGGGAGAAATGCCAGATATAGGTGAAGGGGAAGAAGGCAGCAAATCACACTGCCGTGTGTGTACCTATGCAACAATCTTGCATGTTCTTCACATGTACCCCAAAACCTAAAATACAATAAAAAAAATTAATGTAAAAAATGTATTATATCACACATATTTTAATTAATTCAAAAAAAAAAAAAAGGAAAGAAAGGCTGCTAGAAATCCTCAAGCCAAAATCACCTGTCAGAGGAGTCCTCCTCTCAGGAACCAGCCTGCCTTAATATCTATGCTACTTTCAGTCACCGGCTGGAGCAGCGTGTGGAAGAAAATGTGGCCGGGAAATTCAGAGTGCGGCAAGCATCTGGGGCCCTTGATCAGTTTTGCTCCCTGTATTGGCAGCCACAGTCCAAGAACTGGTTTGGCCACTATTGGAATCTTTCATCAGTTTCATGTGTTAAAAGAATATGTTGAACGAGATGAGTTTATGAGGAGAAGTTTTGGGGAGAGTCATTGTTATGCTTCCCCACTCACCTTCAAGTCTAGTGAGGGGGGCTTCTTAGCAATACCCAGAGAACTTGACATGCATTCCCTGGGTTTGAGAGTTATAGTAGTATTGTGATTCACATCTGGGAAATCCCAGGGGTAGGAGAGATGGGCCAGTGAGAATTTTGGCATAGGAATGAAGGAGAGTTGCTATGTTGGGATCTGTAGTCACTGCCATAGTTTGTCAGGGCAAATGATGCCTGAGTGTTTCATGCGGCAGATATGGGCCACGTGAAAAACAGAAATTTGGGCTGAGACCTTTTTGACTGTTGTGTGTGGAGAGAATCTGTATGGTATGGATTATTAGAGAAGCCATGGCTGCAGATGGAGCAATAGCTGGAGGAATAGAATGCATTGCCCATCTAGAGTGACCACCTTGTCCAGTGTACCTGGGACTTTCCCTCCTTTAGTACCAGAAGTCCCAAGTCCCAGGAACCCATGTTTAATCGTTCTGTATGTCATAGGAGTTGCAGCATCCAACAACCCCAAAAGTCACCTGTGGGAGTGAGTCAAGTTTAAGTTTCAGGCAGGTCTAGAATGTAAAATCAGCTATGACAATGCCATGTTAAAGTAGATTTTATCAGCGGATAATTGGAAAATGATGCAGAAGCAAAAACTTCTTCACACTCTTTTTTTAGAGTGTGTATTAGTCTATTGACATGGCCAAAAAACCTTAGAGTGAGTGGCTCACATGCAGAGACTGATTTTCTCACCATTCTGGAAGCTCAAAGTCCAAAATGAGGGTTTTGACCAATTCTCTTTCTGGTGAGGGGCATAATTCCTGGCTTGCAGCTGGCTGCCTTCTCGCAATATCCTCATATGGCCTTTCCTTGGTACATGCTCGAGATGAGGAGGTATGGGAGACAGATAGAGAACTTTCTGGTGTATCTTCTTATAAGACACTAATTCTGTCAGATCAGGGACCCATCCTTATGACCTTGTTTTGTCTTAATTACCTCCTTAGAGGCCCCATTTCTAAATACAGCCACACTGGGGGTTAGGGCTTTAACACATGAATTCGGGGGGCACACAAACATTTAATCCATGACACAGTGTGACTCTGCAACACAAAGATACCTTTTTTTGGGGGGAGGGTCTTGAGAATATTAGGTCTGTGTTATGTCTTACTCTCTTAAGGAGAAGTTATGCTATGGTGACTTTGCATCCCTGTATCTTTATAAACAAACATAAATATGATGTCCAGAGGTTGTTTGTGACACTTTTAGAGCTCTCCAGACATTATTTTAATGTCGTCAAGGAAAGTTGAATACCTGGGTGATCCTGTTATTTTTGTGTTGTGCAGAGCAGAGGATGTTACATGCTAATGTTCACACTACTGAACTCATGGGGAAACCCACAACAGACTCTGTATACACAGTGATCAGGACTTGGGCTAAGCCCTGGGGCTTGTACTTAGCTACAAGGATTTAGTAAACACTGGAACTGTTCTGATAAGGGATATAGTACTGCTTCTATTTATGAAATTTGATTTTTTTAAGTTAACACAGGATTGGTTAATCAGAGAATATATCCTCTTACATTTTTCTTACAAATATGACTCAAGTAGTTGTAGGACTTTAGCTTAAAAGGCCAGTATGTTAAGAATGAATTGCTGTCAAAAAAATAAAAATAAAAATAAAATACATAGATTTGAGCCTCCTTTAGCATCCACTTGATCCTTCCAGGAGGCATTGCTGTCTTTTTTAATTTCTTAAGGGTCATAATAGTTGGAATTATGTTCAGCTATGGGCATGAAGTAATCGAAATTTCCAAAATACATTTATTTAAACATAACATAAATTAATTTTTTAAGAAGTCTGGATGAAATCAGTTTAGAGTTAGTACAGTGATTCATGGGGTGGGGATTCCAGGCTCCTCCT